GCACTGACTTTTCTTTTGCTCTTCTTACTTCCCTTACCCTGAGAAAAGCAGTACCTAAGAGTTAAAGAAACTATACGTATAATCTCCCTGTGGTAAAACGGCGTTCAGGTTCCTCTGAATGAAGAGTTAAACCTCTTACATTTTCTCCTTCCCACTGTATGTAGCTAAGTGTGTAGTAGTTAGGCTTATAAAACACAGTACTTGCAAAATGGGGTGAATGAATTCAGGAATAGAAGCCTTTGTGTGAGAAGTGTTCATGTGTTTTGGCTTTAGTTAGTACCTTAATATATTTTGTATAAGATTAAAACAAAACAGAAAAGCAACAGTCCTGTTGGAACTGTTCTTGCTGGGAGTATCCATCAGGCTTACTGCATGTGGCTGTTCTAAAAAACAGAAAAAAACTTAAGGAACACTGCTGTTTCACATGAGGCAAAACATGACTAAGAGAAGTAATATTGTGGACACAATAAAGAAACAACTGTCTTGGTAAATTAAGCTCAACTCCCTCTTTGTGATAACTCCCTCTTTGATAATCTCTGTTAATATCACTAACAGCCAAATAGATGGTTTCTATTTTGTGGACATGTTTCTTTCAGGATTAGCTGAAGCCTGGATGCTGGGAAGTGGACTGGAAATTAAGAGGACTGTACTCCTGGTCTGCTTCTTGGTCTCACTGCTCCTGAAGAAATAATTTAACTGTTCTGGTTATGAAGACCGAGGTGGAAAATTTCAAGCTGAGGTCAGTGGGACAGGAGTGTTCACTGGTTATATCTTGCTTAAGGGAGCTTGTTGAAATGTTCCATCATTCATTTAATTTTTATTTTATTTTATTTTATTTTATTTTATTTTATTTTATTTTATTTTATTTTATTTTATTTTATTTTATTTTATTTTATTTTATTTTATTTTATTTTATTTTATTTTATTTTATTTTATTTTATTTTATTTTATTTTATTTTATTTTATTTTATTTTATTTTATTTTATTCTCTGGTTTGGTCTAGTTTGGTCTGATTTGGTCCGGTTTGATTTGGTTTGCTTTGGTTTATTTAATTAACACACCAGTAAGTTGGAAGCTTGAACCATTTGGCCTGAGAGAATGAACCAAAGGATATGTGGGGATTGTGGGGTTTTTGGCAACCTACCTTAGGAAAGAAACTTTACTTGTCTCTTCAGAAAATGCAGGGGTTTTTTTACTTTCTTTTGTCTCAGAACTCAATTGTGTCTTTAAATAGCTTTATCTGAGTATCTGTATGCCAGTTGTAATGAACATTCATACTCAGAAAACAGTCCAAGTCCAAAAACGTACAAGAAAGTGTCATAACAGAGAAGTTTTAGCTGGTCGTCTAGATAAGAAACAGGTGAGTTTTGATTAATCACACAGTTTATATCCTTGGTTTCACAGCAAGGTCTGTCCATGAAGGAGAAGCCAAGTGCTCTGTGAGATCTGCTTCCTTCAGAAGGAGCTATGGGTTTGGGATCAGGAGTTATCTGTGAGGGGCACCTGCTAGTCTTTTACTTGGAGAATCGGTCTCCATGGCACAAAGACTGAGGATGCAGGCTGGCCTGACTGAACTATAACAGAAATAGAGATTGTGCTTGTGGCAAGACATACAGAATTTGGGACTGTTCTGCATTTCTTGTAGCAAGTTGTTCTGATTTTCCACTTGTGTGTTTGAAACCTGGCTTACTGACATGAGAAAATTTTCTTGTATGTGCAGTCAGTTTGTCTCCTGGTCAGCAAGTCTGCAAGAGAGTGAGGAACAGCAACATGTGACAGTCGGACACTTTGAGGGTTTTGATGTAAGTGTGTGTCCTGGTGATTCTAAACTGTAGAAATATCAGGTGCCTTGCTCCATTTCTGCAAGTTTCTACTGTCTTGGCAATGTTAGGCAAGAAGGAGGAAATGATCCCTCTGGCTGAGGCAGTACCAGGGACTGAAACTGGAAGGGGAAGTCCCCGGGCACCCTGACCTGCATGGCAGTGCTACAGAGGTGCCTGGCAAGTAAAACTTCAGGCTGGTTAGGTCAGTGCTATGGCCTGGCTCAACTGCTGGCAGGATGGACAGGGCACAGACCATAGTGGCTCTGAGCAGCTCTACTTGGAGCAACCTTATTTCTGATGGCCAGTGGGTTCATGCAGCCTGTCATGCCCAGAAGGTCGACAGGGCTTCTGTCGTGTGGTGTGGACGATATCCCACTGAGCATTATGAGCACTGTGAGCAGAATGGAAATATTTTAGTACCACGTATTTTTTGCCACCCCTGCAAAATACTTTTTTTCAGCAATGCATCTCAGATCACTCCTCCATATTGTTTTTTGAAGTAAATTTGCCTAATTGTAATGCATGCGGTATTTGGGTATGTTAGGATCAGCCAACAGCATCTGCCTTTTCCCAGAGTTGTGGATGTTTTCCCTGCTATTAGAAATTAAATTCTGCTTTCAATTTTGAAGTGGGCAATAGTGCCAGATTCTTTGTGCCGTATAGCTGGCAAGCGGCTGAAATATTTAATTACTTTTTCTTTCTCAGATCATTAAAAGGTCCAGAAATACGTTCAAAAACTTTAGCCTCGGCGTATTTAATTTTTCAAACAACTTTCTCCTATATGGATTGTGTACCTATGTGAGTGAAGTGCTGATGTCATGTAACTTCTTGAAAAATTTGCACAAGAATGTAAAAATTTTTATTAATTCCACAAGCCAAATGCTGCATTTAGCTTCACACACATTAAAGTAACTGCACAAAAACATTCCTGTAAAGGAGGTTAGAAGCCAGTTCTTATAAGTTCATTTCTATTTTAATACTTTTTTCTTCCATACTAGATACACCTGAAGATTATTCTTAGCTCCAAGATGAAATAATGACTGTACAGTTCATAGAAAGTACATAGGTATGGCTCTTGGCAATTAAGACAACCCCCAGGCCTGATTGTCAAGTTTGAGAAAAACTGGATGCAGTCATGCTTCATCCCTCTCCTTACAGCTAGGCTAAACACAGTATTCCTTTGAAAGCGAGCAAACAATGTATGATCAAATTTTGTTTTAAAAAAACACTTTACTACTTAACTCAATGCTAGGACATTTAAAAAATATTGACATCAAAGTAGATATCAAGGGTATTTTGCTGGTCAGATTTTTAAAATGTGCTAACACGAGACAGTGGAATTCAGTAGAAGCACCACAAGGTAACTGAAGTAATTTAGGAGGAATATGCACTTTTATTGTTGCACTTAAATGAAGAGAACATTGTTTCAAAGAACAGTAAAGATATGGAAAAAAAACTAGTGAGTTTTGTGAACTGAAATATCTCCCCCTGTGATTAAAAGAGTTATTTCAGAAATAAAGATTAATAGCCACCTCTGCACTGAAATTTTAAGTCATTGAAAACATTTTTTAACAAAAAAAGTTGCAGCATTTATATAAAGAGTTGATATATCTAATAGTGGCAGGCAATAAGATTCGTACTTTAGAGGAGGACTGTTTTGCAGAAAACAGAAAGTACTCTTGTATTTCTTTGCATACACTGTGAAATCATCTGCTTTTAGAAGTGCTCATATTGTTTTCTTTTTAAGCTGCTTTGGAGTTAAACTTCACAGGTATTTTAGCACATTTATTTAATTATGATCTAGTCAGGAAAAACTGAGATTTCAAGCTCTATCAGAGCAAATCACATAAGGTAAGGAAAAGGTTTATTGAACACTATAGGCTATAATCCTATATAATTTTCCTATATAATAGGAAAATTATTAAGGTAACCTCTGAGGCTAACCTATTATTTCAGCATCACCGCTTGGTTAAAATAAAAAAGCACTTAAGGACTCCATTCTCCTTCTTAGCAAGTGTCTGATAAAATTCTCACTCTTGGATGACCAGATGGGTTGGTTTTTAGATTTTTCTCTGTCACACATCCTCGTCCCTAAGAGTCATCAAATTGAGATGAGGTAAACAGAGACTCTGATGCTTAATTTTAGGTGATGGGTCTTGCCTACTTTGTCTAGTTCTGTTTAATCACCCATGTCTAGAAAACAGGAGGCTTCTAGAAAGTGATTAGAATGACTAGTGACCAGTGACTTCTAGGAGTGACTGAGCTAAAGATGCCTCATATGAAATTGACACTAGTTCTTTCCTAAAAGGACCTACCTGGACTGCATGACTTTTTAAATTTAAGCTTGCACTTCACATGAGCAGTATCTACTGTAAAATTAAAAAAATTCTCTTCCAGTCGGCTGGAGCATGTCCAAAAAAGACCAAAAAAAGATGATGAAAGATCTGGAGCACAAGTCCTATGAGGAGCCCCTGAGGAAGCTGGGGCTGTTTAGGTGGGAGGAAAGGAGGCTCAGGAGTGACCTTATCACTCTCTACAGCTGCCTGAAAGGAGGGTGCAGCCAGGTTGGGGTTGGCTTCTTCTCCTGGGTAACCAGTGACAGGACAAGAAGAAGTGGCTTCAGGTTTCACCAGGGAAGGTTTGGATTAGATGGAAAGGGTGGTAAAACATTTGAACAGATTTCCCAGGGAAGCAGTAGAATTGCCATCCCTGGAAAGTAGATGGGGTACTTAGGTACATAGTTTGGTGGCAGACTTGCAGTGTTAAATTAATGGCTGGACCTCATGATCTTAGAGGTCTTTTCCGACTTTAATGGTTCTATGATTCAATAATCACACAGAAATTATCACAAGAGTGTTTGTTTATGTCCTTTTGACGCTTCATATTCCACTCTAACTGAAAGAGGAAAAAAAAAAAAAAAGATTTAAAGGGCTTCAATGCAATGACTGCATAACTAGAAAGAGTCAGGATCTCCCCCACCTTCCAAAGTTACTTCTCTTTGAAAGATGTGAGCTGTGGCATGCTGACATACCCCTTGGAAAGTTGCATTATTGAGAATAAAGTATGAACTGGTTTGTTATGGGTTAAACCCAGTAGGCAGCTCAGGCCCACACAGGTGGTGCTCACTCCCTACAGAAGAAGAGAGGTTCAGAAGGGCAGAAATAAGAAAACTTGTGATTGAGATAAGGACATTTTAATAGGTGGAGTGGAGAAAGAAAACAAAATATGATAAAATTCAAGTGATGAAGGAGCAATCACACACCACCAGCTGCCTGCTGTTCAACCAATCCCTGAGCAAAGGTGCCACTGGAAAACATCGTTTCAGTTTAATTGCTGAGCATGATAGTTATATATGAGATATCCTTTGATGACATGGCATCAGCTGTTCTGTCTATGTCCTCTACCATTCTTGTCTGCCCTCAGTCTACTTGCCTGGAAGGGAGAAAGAGAGAGTGGGAAACAGAGAAGGACTTGGCACTCTAAAGCACTCTAGCAATAGCTTGGAAAAGAGTCTGTTATCAGTGCTGTTCAGAGTCCAGAGTTGCATTTGCAGTATCTTGCACCATAGGAGGTGATGTGAAGAAAATCAACTGCACTCCAGACAGACCATGCCACTAATTAAAAACTCTACACCTTTCCACACCTAGGGGATTCTTAGCTGTTCAATTGGTAATGTAAATGATTTAAATATTTCCCTTTTCTCTGCTTTTTCCTAAAAGGTGTAACTAAATTCATTGTGGAGCTGTAACTGAAGATGTCCTGACACAGAGCAAGAGAGAAGATTGCACTACAACAAAGAAAAAACGATCTCTTTCTCAATGTGGCAGCTGGTGCTGAGTTACTTGTTTTCAGAAGAATAGTTTGTTTCACCTACTTTATCTTTTCACACTGCTTTGGGGAACTTTCTTTTTGGGATCTATGTATGTTTTCAAAGCAGTCTATCTGATTTCCAGCAAAAACATGTATCACTCTGCTTGAAAACATTTGAATGACTAGCAATCTCCCACTAAAACCTGTGAGACACTGGCACTTGGGTATCTGAAGATTTGAGCTTTGGAAGCTTAAGAAGCAAACTTTCAAATACTCTTGAAATAAATAGGAGTTGTGTTGCATTTCAGTGGGATTTGAACTTCCAAGTTCAGAAATTACTTTAGAAGTAGAATTGTGGGGCTTTTGAAAATTCTATCCTGGCTTCACTGAAAAGTAATTGATCTGATCTAGCTGAACTGTAACACTGTTTGAGGTCCTTGTCATTGCAGTTGACATTCCTTGGATTAAAAAAATAAAAATTGTAAAGATTGCTGCCTAACCATGAAGGCCAAGGCCTAAAGAACTTTCTAATACACTAAGGTGTATTATCTCCATTTATTCCCAAAATTACCTATGCAGACACAATCAGAATTGTCAAATAGACATTTAAGTGTATCTCTAGGTGGTTAATTATCCTTTATGTACTCTTTAATTTGGCTTCATGATGCAATACCTGTAGCTTTACTTTCCCTGTTTAAAAATGGTTTCTAATATTACTGCTGCATGACAGATCTTTTTTGAGAAACCTCCACAAAATTAAAAGGCAGAAACTGCTTTTAAATTCTATGCCCTATAGATACTGTGTTCCTTGTTTTAATGTTTGTTGCATAATCTGTAATTCTAAGAATAAATAGATACCTAAAATAATATGGGTACTGCTCTGTATAAGTATTGTCCTAAATTTCTCTAAAGTACATGTGTTCAAATAAATGAGGAAAAATTAAAGGTTTAAAATTATTCCACAAAGGCCACAGATGTTTTACATGGTACACAAAGTAAAAGGCCACTTTCTGAGCTCTGACAGACATTCCTTACTACAGTGCATAGATCTTTACATATAATGACACAGAAGTTCCATAGCTGGAAAGGATCATTGTTGCACAATATACCACTCATATAGATATTCCTAAGGATTAAAGAATTAGTGTCTGAAAAAACATGTTTGTCCTTGTTTTAGGAGGATTAAATTGTCTGATGTACTCAAGTCCAGACGGGAAAAGGATTCTAGAACTGAATCAGAAGCAAACCCATGGCAGGCAAACTTGATAACTCTGGCTACTTTGAGGAGAAAAAAAAAGTGAGAAAAAGAAGAAATCTCTCTTTCCCAGTTTGCTTCTTTCTCTCCCTGTATGACAATATGCTTGTCATCCATCCCTTTCTTTCAATGTCCTATTCTACCTGCACCTGTCCAAAAAGGAAAAGGAATTAATTTAGAAATTACTTTGTTATAGTAGAATTGCACCATCCTAATTCTGTGTACAGGACTTTGTAAGATGACTTTGAAAGCTCTTGCAGATTACAGATACCAAGAAGCAAGGATCTAAAACATGATCCTCAAAAACAGCTTCTTTTTAATTTTAGATCTGTTCTTGGCACAGAAGTATGTCAAAGCCAAAACAACTCATTACTTTCTCTGCTTTTCTATTTCTGTTTGGTTCCAGATCATCTGGGAAAGAAAGGTACACAATTTCTGATGCAATTTAAGAGTACCAGTATGACAGTAAGTATGGCTGATAATGAATTTAATTTTTATATCGATTAACACTCTCCACAGCAAAACAGTACATTGCAAAAGTACAGACTTCTTGCAGAGGAATCAACTCAAAATGTCCCAAAAGATGGCAATTTTTAGTGGTGATTTGTACTGACATTACAAGCAAAATATGCTCTTGTAAAAATTTCCTTCTGAAAAAAAATGACATTGAGCACATGAAAGATCTTATTTAGGCACACACAAATACTGAGAGAAACTTGTGTGAACCAAAGTGATTCTTGCAGTATAAGCACCTATACAACTGGACAATATACCTGACAATTATATATATACCTGATGATTTACAGCCAATATGCATGGGAATACAGAAGATGAGAACTTTTTAACTTAGGAACTCTTTTGTTGCTGAGCTCTATTTTCCCTATTGCAAAACAAGAGAGAATGCACCTAAGTGTCAATCGCAAACTCAAAATAGGAAGTCACGTTTGGACTGTTGCGTCTGATTTTGACCTCCATGGTGCAGGGGAACATGACATTGAAAAAACTGAAGTGAAGATCACCATGGTCCCCTAGATGAGGCACCTGTCATATGAGAAGAGGCTGACAGTGTGCTGGGTTTGTTCAGCCTGGGTAAGAGAAGTGCAATGGGGAAATTTCATTGCAGTCTTCAGATACATAATGGCAAATATAGAGGATATGGAATTATATTCTCCTTTAAGGCCTGTAGTGGTAAAAGGAGAGGCAGCAGACAAAATCTGCAAGAGAAATCCTGATTAAACACACATTAGCTTTTGCCCATGAGGATGACAAAATGCTTGAAGAGGAGCCCAGAGATTCTTCATCCATGGAGGTATCCAGAATGTGACCGGTCACAGCCCATCTGGCTGGTCTGAATGAGGTGTTTGAAGCAGATGATCTCCAGATAGCCCTTACAACATATTCTGCTCTGTGACTCTGTGGTCACCTTAATGGAATTTAAAAAATACCACAATTATTTGGGGTCTTTTGATTTACTTAGACAGTTGTTTCCTAATGTCCATGTTTTTATATTCTTCCATTCTGGTTTTGCTTTGGTCACATGTGTTTTGATGCAGATTCATTGGAGGATAAGCTTGTAAATAATCTATGAATAATTGCTTACATATTCCCATTTCTTGTACTCAGGAAAAAAATTGATCCTGTAAATGTCATAGATAATTCTTTTTAAATTATTTCTCTTATAATTCAGCTTCTTCAGCTCAGCAAGTGTCTAGAAGCAGAACATTATTTTTTCAATTAATTGGCTACGTTTCATTCAAAAATGTTTGAGTTTTCTTTTTACTGCCTTTGTTTTGATAGTCAGGAGTGAGGGTTTTAAACGTTCTATACTGTACATTCAAGTTACAAACTTGGCAAACTATTGCTCTGACCTTTAACAGGACTGATGTGAACCAGGAGTTGCAGAGCTGAAAGGAATGGATGCTTCTTAGAAAGACTGGAAATTACAGTTCCACTTGTAAAGGTTAAGATTTCAGTTCCTGAGGTAGCAGCACTGCAGCAGACTGGAAGGAATAGTAAACACAGGCTGCTATGAGCGAGGCTCTGTGAAATTCAGGGACTATGGAGGGTTGGCTTGACCTGTCATCTGTTTTCTTATTTCGTGTTTATGTGTATGACTGTAACCTTTCGGCTGCACAAATAACATCCAGATCTTTGGAAAGCAGTTTGTGTTTGTGTTGTGTGTGCTGTCTGTCTGACAGGCAAAGGCTAATCACCATCCCCTACTGGCAAAGCCTGCAGAGGAGCAGTAGAGATAATAATTAATTGAAAATGTTGTATGACAACAATTCTCCTGGGCTCATGAGTCTGTCTAAAGTAATTTAAAATAGATTTTTGTAAGAAAATGAACTAGTATCTCAAATGATAAAAATCATAATGAAGGGGTGCAGGTGGGGAGTTGCTTTTGCTTTTGGCTTGTGCAAGCACCTGTGAATGAATCAAAGCAGCATTCATCTAAATCCATTGTATTTTAAATAAAACCGATCCACTGCTCAAATGACAACAGGATACTGGGCTATCTAATCATCATCTGGTAGTTTGTGAGAAACATTTTGGAAAGTCCCACCTCCCATCTGTGTTTAGATTTACACTGTTATATGCATTAAATATATACTCCCTTGCTAATTCTTCAGTGGAATAACATTACTGCATTTGTGATCTATGAAGTAAGGACCTGTGGAGAGGCCTCTCTTCCTTGGCCTGCAAAGCACAGTGCTGTATGTCTACAAGAAATAGGAACAATGATGAGAGACCAGAGAATCCCACCTCCAAGAAAACCTAAAACAACCAGCAGTCCTACTATATCTGAGAAGACTGATACAAAACCACTGTCAATATACAGGAATGTTTATGGAGTAAAATCATGGTGTGCAGCCAATAGTAGCCTTCACTTCTAGGAGCAGTAAGAGCCTGTGTACATGCAGTGGCTCATAGGGCTTCCACAGAAAAATCCTATCACTTACTTAGCTTTAATCTGGCCAAATTATTATAAGGAGGTCAGTTTTAATCATGTAAGTTTCTGTATTTTTATAGTGGTTAGCATGATGGTATTGATGTGGATCTGCTACTAAATACAGAGGGGATCCTGTTAACAGGACACAGAGAAGGCAGTTACTGAACACCTACTTTGGATAGGTCTTCACTGACAGGATCAGCCCTCAGAAATCCTTGACTCAGGAGACCAGGGTAAAGAAATTTTGGAAGGGACACTTTCCCTTTGTCAGGGGGAGCTGGGGTCACCTTGAGAGAACATCAAGGCAAACTGGACACCTAAAAATCCGTGGCCCCTAATGGATGCATCCAGAAGTGCTGAGATGCTGCTCATCTCAGAGATCCTTTATGAAAGGTTGCAATGATACAGAAAGGTTCCTGAAGTCTGAAATTAAGTAAACATCACTCCAATCTTCAAGGACAGGAAGGACCCAAGGGACTACCAGTTAGACAGCCTCTCCTAAATCTTCAGAAAGGATGGAATGCTTCACTGTGAAGGCTGTCAACATCCATATGGACGGCAAAACGGTTATCAGAAGCAGTCAGCATGGATTCACCAACATAAATCAATCTTGACCAATCTGATTGCCTTCTACAATGAAACAACCACTTGGATGGACAAGATGAGAGTTGTGGATATCGTCTACTTTGACTTGAGCAAAGCTTTTGACACTGTCTTACCAAACATCCTCATAGGCAAACTTGGAAAGTGGGTGAGCAGCATTGTCTGAATAGCAGCTCCTGGAGTGTCATAATCAGTGGCAGAGGGTCTGGTTGGAGACCTGTTACTGGTGGTGTCTCCCAGCGTTCCATACTGGTCCTAGTGTTTACTGTATTCATCAATGACTTGGATGAAGGGGCAGATGCCTCCTTGGCAAGTTCACTGATGACACAAAGCTGGGAGCAGTGCCTGACAGCCCAGAGGGCTGTGCAGCCCTTCAGAAGGACCTCAACAGGCTGGAGGGATGGGGAGAGAAGAAACATTTATAATTCAGCAAAGGCAAGTGCATGATCCTGCACCTGGGGAGGAACCACCCCAGGCACCAGCAGAGGCTGGGGGTGACCTGCTGGGAAGCAGCTCTGTGGAGAAAGACCTGGGTGTCCTGGGGGACACAAGCTGTCCATGAGCCAGCAGTGTGTCCTGGGGGCCAAGAAGGCCAATGGGATCCTGGGGTGCATTAGGAAGAGCACTGCCTGCAGGTCAAGGGAGGTGATCCTGACCCTCTACTCCACCCTAGTGAGGCACATCTGGAGTGCTGTGTACAGTTCTGGGCTCCTCAGGACAAGAGAGGTGGGGGTTCCTGGAGCAGGTCCAATGGAGGACAACAAAGATGATGAGGGGACTGAAGCATCACAGATTCTGTGATCTTTTTTATGAGGAAAGACTGAGGGAGTTGAACCTGATCATTGAGAAGAGACAACTGAGAAGGGACCTCAGCAATGTCTATAAGGGACATCTGAAAGGAGCATTTAAAGAGGATGGAACTAGGGTCTCCTCGGTAGTGCCAAGAAAGAGGACAAGCAAATGTTGCACAGGAAATTTCACCTGAACATGAGGAAGAACTTTACTGTATGAATGACTGAGCATTGGAACAGGCTGCTCAGAGATGGGGAGTATCCCTCACTGGAGGTTTTCAAGAAACGTACAGACACAATCTTGTGCCATGTGCTCTGGGATGTTCAAGCAGGGAGGTTGGACAAGATGAGCCACTGTGGTGGCTAGACAACCCGCTGTGGTGCCTTCCAACCTTACGGATTTTGTGACTCTGTGATTCTGTGGTATGTGGGCTGGTCCAGGAAGAAGGCTCAGCTGTGAATATGGTTTTAAATGTTTTTCCAATAGGAAATCTCATTTTTATTATCCACTATGCAGAGTAGATATTAACAGCTCAAGTCTCTTGAAAAAAACCAAAAAACGGAACCTCTTTATCTTTTTGTTTTCCTGCAGAAATTGCAGTGATAAATCTGATACTACTTGCTAAAACAAATAAACCAGTCTTGCCAAAACCAAAAACATTCCCTCACCTCAAAACATTGGGGAAAAAAAAAAAGAATATAAAAACCAAGGTAATCCAGTTTTCTTTAGTTTAAAATTATTTAAAATAATCTTATACCACCCAAAACTTAATTGCCCCAAAATTTTGTGAGTTATCGACAGAAATATTTCACCTTGTTGTCAAAAGTTGATCTCCTGGAATGTATAAGTACATTAAAAAATCATCTTGGTAGGAAACTGAAGGCAACAGAATCAAGGGTAGGAGAAGCCAGGACATCTAACAAAGAAAATCACTGTGCAAAAGAATATTTGAATAAGAACCTAAGACACAAAAAATTTAAAATGTTAGTTGGTTTACATGCATCAGACAAGTTTAATATTACTTGTTTATAAATCAAACGAGTAGCAAATTCAATTTGATATGGTTGGAAGGATTTAATCCACAAATAAAAAACCCTCATCTTGTAAATCCTTCAAGAATGAAGTGCTTCAGGCCAGGACAAGTTGTATATGGCAAGACTGCTGAGGATGTGTTTCTTTCAGTCTTTAGAGAGAAGCCTGTTCAGAGAGAGTTTTATCATCAGGAAACAGACTTTAAGATAGATAGATACAAAATTTCTTCAAAGATAATGCTTGTGTTTCAATAAGGGTTCTGATCTGCTTTTTGAAGGAAATTGTGGTTTAAAGGCAATTTTTTATTCTGTCACAATTTGGGATGGGTCCCATGAAGAAGAGACATAAAGGTTTATTTAATGGCAGTTTGCCTTTCTTACCTTTTAAGAAAAGTAACAAAAAAGCTAGATTTTCTTTTGATACTTTTTGCTGTTCCTGTCCTTCTTCACAAAAAAAAAGAAAAAAAAAAAGTTCTTTCATCACTCAGATGGAAATTTTCTACACCAGAGAGAATAATTTACTTCACCTTGAGAGCATCAAGCTGATGACAACCTTTTAAAGTTGTGAGACCAAGCAAAATTACATGGAAATCACATAGACTTCTCACTTAATCATAACTTCTGTCTACTTTTCAAACAGAGTCTCAAATAATTCAAGCATCACCTACTATGCATGTTTTGCTTAAACACAAATTTTATCTACTATTACTATCTAGTATTTTTCCTACTGCTATATTAAGTCCTGTACATATAAACTAAGTAAATAATGCCAAGAACTTGTTAAAGTTCAAGGAAGTTACTGCAACTCCTCTCTTTTTACTATGTAAATAGACTACCTTTATGGGGTAAAGGTACCCACATCCAGGAGGAAGAAACATAGCATTTAAAGGCATAACTGTCTTTCTTAAAGCAGCTGTGAAGTACTGTGCACAAAAATATTCTGGAGCAGAGGGGCTGGAGAGATGCAAGAATTTCTTTCAAAGAAGAGATTTATGTCATTCCTATGATTTCAGTACTACAACAAATGCAATTAGGTTGCACCCAGTTTGAGACCAAATGGCAGGAGCTTCCTGATTTTGAATATATCTCAGTTTAGCTTAAGACCTTAAAATAAAAACTTAGGTTTGCAGGTGACTTTTTTAATTGTATGTCATCTTAATTTTTTTTATTCTAGTGGTATGTGATGAACAAATCTTTATAAACTGACTTTGTTACACAGAAGAAAATGGGGAACTTTCCTTACATCAATTCTAAAGCACAATTTTTATTCTACAGCACAGCATCTGTCTAGCTTTAGAAAGCCCAGTGAAGTGGATGAATGAAGTATTCCTACCTCACAAAAAAATTTTGCATGAGGAGAAAACAGGGAGGAGTGAAGAAACCAGTCTGAGCACTGAGTGCTCCATGTAGCATCTGGTTTGACAATGTATTAAAGCTTTTGGCTGAAATGAATATATGCAAGAAAGGGAAATTAATAGAGTAGAAAGAAAAGAGAAGAAAATAGATAATTGTCCTCCTTTATTATTGCTCAACATTTAAAAACTCTCCCTAATCCCTTCTTGAAACATTTTTGTATTATCAGAGACACAGAAATATGCTGCTCTTGCAGAAGCCTACGTCTGGGAAGAAACCTCATTTAAATTATCTCAAACAAATTTTCATTTTACTTAGAGCAGCTAACACACTAATATATCCTGCATCGCCTCACCAATATATCCTGCATACCTTCATTTTGGCTTAAGACTGAGAAAGTTTGGAGTGTACCATGTCAGTTCTATGACTGTCACCGGGAATACTCCAAAAGTGATATGTGCAGGGAAAACTCAGTATTAGAAATAGGATCAACAGGAAATGCAGCAGATCACAGAGGTAACAGTGAAGAACTGATCTGAACAGGTTTAGCTTGCTATGCAGGAATCCTGCCCTTTGCAAATGCCTGAGATGCTCCCTCAAAAGTAGTGCTGAAAAGTGTGCCAGGTAATACGTATCCCAGGGTAATTCTCTGTCTGAACCACTCACAGCCATCCTGCTTAAGGGATCATTCTGATACTCAGACTAACTCAGACTACTAGCAGGCTATCACAGCCATAGCTGTGTTGTAATCTTCTGGGTCTTTAAGCCAGGGAACTGCTGTACTAGATGGAAAATAGCCTTCACAACAGATTGCCTTCACTAGCAGCCCAGGCTTTCCAACATCCATTAATTATTACTTGGGTTGTGGTTTTGCTCTATTTAAAGAAAGAAAGCTCATTAGTCTGTGTAGTCTTTCAGCTGTGAAGACTTTGTCTATATGATACCATGATTTTAAGCATTTTTTCATTTTTCAGATCCATATATGATGGCCAGATGTCTTGCACCAGGATTTGTATATGGGTTTTTTTTGGTTGTCTGTCTCTGAAATGAAAATACTGTTTTACAAAATAATTTGATGGTTTGATACTTGATCAAGACCTCAGAACCTCAAAACCCATCTGTGAAAAGAACTAAATCCTTAAAATAAATTGGATTACCTCTCCCTTCAACAAAGAGACATGGAGATTCCTGTTTACATCCCACAAGTGTGATAATTTTGGAAGAGATGTGCATTTTGTTACCACTGCCTTACCACTGATCAAATTAAAGCTTCAAAGCTGAATGTGGTGTCATCAAAGCAGTCACTGTACAACTCAGCCAAGTGCAAAGAAGATTCATATTTTACATTGATAGAGGAAATCCCGCAGCGTGTCAATGTAGATAGAATTATGGCAGTTCCGTTTATAATGATGCACAAAATACTCTCTGCAATTGAAGGCAAAAATGAACAAAGAGGGTTCTAAGCTCAGTGCATGTCTACTTGGATTTGTGGTAACTTCCTGATATGCTGTTTCCATTCCTTTAGTACAACCACCTAGATGCTCTGAAAACCAGGTTTCTCTTCACATGCCATGTTTATTTCTGAGGAATAAGGAGGCACTTAAGTTTAAAGAAAAGAAAAAGAGATCAAATTGTATTCTTTGACTATCTGTTGTCTTTCTTTTCCTATCTCCACTCCTACAAGTAAATATATCACATAAAAGTCTGGTTTTGGATATAATAGAGCAAAGAAACAAGACGGAAGGAATCTATGAATATTTGCAAAAATAGCAAAAAGGTATAAATAAAATATGTAACTAAGGATAAAAAATAGATCTGAGCTGCAAGCAAAATTCTGAGAAAAATATTCCAGAGGAAGTGATGAAAAATCCATGTATAAACGACATTTCACAGGTAAGATGTAGAAGACTAAATTGTCAGTTTTGTCAAGTGGATCTTCACTCTTCAGTCCCTAGTCACTGAATCTTCATGGTTTATCTAAAACTATCTGAATAAAATGGTAACTTTAAACG